GACCCAGGCAGGGGCAGTGGTCACACGTGGCCATGGCTCCACTTCTGAAGCCAGCTCCACCAGCCGCTGTGCTATGGCCTGGCCAAAAAGCTGACCTTCGACCCTGCCAGGAAGTTCCTGGGTCTCAACCATTGCCAGCAGTTCCTGAACCTGGGTTTGGGGCTGCCGAGGAACACGCTGGACTTCTTCCTCAGCCTGAACATACCCATCTTTGACATGTACGGCTTGACCGAGTGCAGCGGACTGCACGCTCTGTCCAGCCACCAGGCCTTCCGACAACTGAGGTGGGTCGGGGGCAGGGTCTGTCTTCCCCGGGGACAGCGGCGGGGGGGGGGGGGCCGGGGGGGGGGGGGCCCCCCAGCAAGGGCCTCTGGCCTCTGCTGCTCTTCGTGGGCAAGACTTCCTTTTGCATTTCTCTGGGATGTTTCTGTCTGTGGGGTGGGGATGAGGGAAGGTGGGATCCAGGCCCCTCTGAGTATCAAGCAGATGCTGGGCAGCCACACATAGCGGGCAGCCTGGCGACAGACTGGGAAACCCAGGCCTCTGTGGACATTGCTTCGGGTTGTGCATGAGGCGAGGCACAGCAGTTTTGAAGGTTTCTATCTGTAGCCCTGGCTGTCCTGGCACTCGCTCTGTATACCAAGCTGGCCTCAAACTCACGGAGATCTGCCTGCCTCTGCCTCCTAAGTCCTGGGATAAAAGGCGTGCACCACCACCCCCGCTTTGTTGCATTTTGGTTTTTGGGATGGAGCCTCCCTGCACGGCTACGGTTGACCTCAAACTTAGAGCAAACTCATTGCTTCAGCTTCCCAAATACTGCGATGACAAGCGTGTGCTATCACATCCAGTTTTGGGCTGAATCCTAAAACATCAAACCCAGATGGCCAGCCTCTGTGGCCTCCGTCTGACCCTGAGAATGCAGTGTGACATGTGGTTCTCTGTCCTGACTGCACTTTGGGGCCTTAACCTTAATTATTTCATGTTTTTCTGCCCTGTTTTGTTGTGACTAGGGAAGGGGTGGGAGGAGAGAACTAGACAGGGTATGCGTCCTGGTGGGGAGCATGCCAGCCCTGCTATCCCCTGCACGCCCACAGCTGTGGGAAGGCACTTCCCAGCGCCCTCACAAAGGTGGAAAAGGAGAACCGGGAAAACGTCGGGAACTTGTGTGTGTGGGGCCGCCACATCTTCATGGGCTACCTCAATGACAAGGTCAACACAGCGAAGAGGGTGGACAGCCAGGGCTGGCTACACACAAACGACCTGGGCTTCTTGGATGTCGACAACTTCGTCTATATCTTGGGGAATAACGATGGTGAGGAACGTGTCACAGGGTACAAGGACGGAGGGGCTGTCAGGGGCTGTCCTCACTGCGGCCGGTAAGCCACTTGATGTCCCTTCTCAGAGACAAATGCTTTTCATTCTTGCCACAGATCTGATCACGCTAAGCTCAGGAGAAGTAATCAACCCGAGTCCCATAGAGGAGCGAGTGATGATTCGAATCCCCATTGTGCGCTATGCAATGTTGGTGGGCCAGAACGCCCCATACCTGTGCGCCCTCCTTACACTGAAGGTACCGGGAGGCTCCCATGGAGCAAGACTCTGACAGTACCGAATGAGGACAGGCTAGATGAGGGTCATTCAGTCACTTAGTCACCATTTTAGTGGCTTTTGTCATTGTGACTAAATACCAGAAGCAATTTAAGGGCCAGGGGAGATGTTACATGGATAAAGTGCTTACTATGCAACAATGAGTATCTGGGTTTGGGTCCCAGGGCACATGTGTGGAGCTGGGCTTGATGGAGCACACTTTATAATCCCAGTACCTGGGAGACCAGCAACCCTCCGGGCCAGTAAGAGACCATGCCTCAAATTTCAAAGGCAAACAGTGCCAGAGCACCAGCACCTGACACTGACCTCTGACTTCCACGCACCATGCCCCCATGAACATGTATACAGACACTTACACACAAAATTTTGTTTTGATCTTTCAAGAAAGGATTTTTCTATGTAGCCCTGGCTGTCCTGGAACTTGCTCTGTACACCAGGCTGGCCTGGAACCCACAGAGATCCATTTGCCTCTGCCTCCTGAGTGCTGGGATTAAAGGTGTGCACCACCACCACCCAGCTTAATTTTTAAAAATGTTCTTATTATTATGGGTATCTGTGTCCATGTGCCACAATACCTGTGAGGAAGTCTGAGGACAGTTTTGTGAAGTGCTTTCTTTCCTGATATACAAATGAAAGTCAAAAAAAAAAAAAAAAGGATGTCTTTCTGTATATATGTTTCTCTTATTGGTTGATGAATGAAACACTGGTTGGCCAATAGACAGGCAGAAAGCATAGGCGGGACAACCAGAACAGGAGAAGGCTGGGGGAGGAAGGCAGAGGGAGGTCACCACAGAGAGACGCCATGCTGCCCAAGGAGCAACATGCTGGGTTATGGGTGAACCACAGCCTTGGGGCAATACATAAATAGAAATGGGTTAATAGTTAAGAAAGAGCTAGCCAATAAGAAGCCTGAGCCACTGGCCAAAGGTTTTATACTTAAACCTTTATTTTATACTTAAACACTTAAACTTCATGTGTTTATTTGGGGCAAAGTGGCTGTGGGAACAGGCAGGACAGAACCTCCGTCTTCACTTTCCTCCCCACCTGCACACAGTTCCAGAGATGAAACTCATGCCCTAGCCTTGCAAGGCCTTCACCAACTGAGTTACCTCACAGCTCTGCTTTCTCTGGGGACCCCTGCCCACATTCAGGATGGGCCTTTCATCTAAGTTAAGCCTTTGGAAACCCAGACATACCCCAGGGGTGTGCTCTCGAGGTGACTCTAGGTCCTGGTCCAGTGACACTGAAGATGTGCACTGAGGAAGCTTTCACCTGGAGTCACACCCCAGCTCTAGTTGTTGATTCTGGGGAGGGATACAGAGTGCCTGGGAGTGTAGAAGAATCTAGAATTTTCCCTGTTGACCAGTGTCCCTCAAAGCATGGACACAGGGCCACTGGCATCAAGGTACCAAATTGAGGATATCCACCACAGCGTGGTTGACGGGGAAGATAAGGTGGGGCTTGAGAGCTGTCTCAGTGAGAGCTTGCTGCCAAGCCTGACACCTTGAGTTCAATCCCCAGGACCTGCATGGTGGAAGGAGAGAACCAACTCCCAGATGCCTGCTCTGCAGCTTGCATGACCTTTGAGCATGCAAAGATGGGATCGGCAGGGCTCTCTGATGCTGTGGTGCCTGTAGCCTGGAGGACCCAGGTACCATGGGAATGGCCCCTGAAGCATGCTCACAGAACACTAACTCTGTCTGCCTACAGTGTCAGATCAATCCAGAGACTGGAGAGGCTCGGAGTGCCCTGACCAGCGAGGCTGTGGCCTGCTGCCGGAAGCTGCGGAGCCAGTCCACCTGGTTGACAGACGTCCTATATGATCGTGACCCCCTGGTCACAGAGTTCATCAGCCAGGGCATCCAGGAAGTGAATGCAGAAGCACCCTCAGAGGCCGCCAAAATCATTAAGTGGGTCATTCTAGACAACGATTTCTCTGTTGGCGGCGGGGAGCTTGGTGAGTGAGTGGCAGGCATGAGTGATCCATGGACCCTCTCGGCCTCCTAGCCCCAGGCTTCCACTGAGTACATGAAGGGTTTGTGGTCATATGGCCTTAGCTGATATTTCCAACAAAGCACACTTAAAATAGGTGTGGTGGTACACATTTATCAGCCGAGAACTTGGGAGCCAGGCAGGAGACTCATGAGTTCAAGGGCTGCTCAGGGTACCGAGTGAGAGAGACCCTGTCTCAGAAACAAACCTGGGGCTGAGGAGACGGCTCAGTCTGTGAAGATGATGGCTGCACAATCATGAAGACTTGAGTTTGATTCCCCAGACCCATGTTACAAACAAACAAACAAACAAACTGCAGGCATGCTGTTTGCCTTTTAAATTATTTACTTTTATTTTTATGTGTATGACTGTCTGAATGTATGTTTACCATGTTTGTCCTGTGCCCACAGAGGCCAGACAAAGGCATCAGATCCTCTGCAACTGGAGTCAAAAGTAGCTGTGAGCTACCATATGGGTACTGGGAACTGAACCTAGGCCCTCTGCAAAAGCAGCTGGTGCTCTAACCACTGAGCTATCTCGCAAATGCTGGGGAGGCTGAAACCAAGGAATCCCTGGTCCTCTGTGGACCATCAGCCTAGTCTACTTGGCTAGCACCAGGCCAATGAATGACACTGTTTAAAAAGGGGGGGGGCTAGAAGTAGAGGTACACACCTTTAGCCCAGCACTCAGGAGGCAGAGGCAGGCTGGTCTATAGAGTGAGTTCTAGGACAGCCAGGGCTACATCGTGAGACCCTACCTTGGGGGAAAAAAAAAACAAAACACATTGGGAGCTCAGGAGATGATTGGTGGCTATGGCAGCTTCTGTGTGATGGCAACCGGGCTCCTCTGAACAGCTGGGTGTAGTAGAGCAGGTCTATTTCCCCATGCTGTGGGGCATGGATGGGAGGACCCCTGAGGCTTGCTGCGTAGTTCAAAGATGAGTGAGAGACCCTGTGTGAGAGTGATGGAGCGTGACATCTGACACCCTCCTCAGGCCAGGTGAGCACACACCCCCACATCTGGAGCCAGACAGATGACTTAGGGGTTAAAGGCACTTACTGCTCTTGCAGAAAACCCAAGTTCAGTTCCCAGTGCCTACACACACACACACACACACACACACACACTGGGCAGCTCACAACCACCTGTTAACTCCAACTCTAGGAATCTGATGCCCACTTGTGACCTCTGAGGGTACTGCAAGCGCACACACACACACACACACACACACACACACACACACACACTATTTAAAATAAATCTTCAAAAACATCTCCCACATCCAAGCCCTGCTTTTATAAAACACTTTCCTCTCAGCTGAAGATAGGCCAACACCAGACCTAATTCCTGACTTTTGGGGGTGCAGAGGCAGCATTTGGGTGTCTTTGAGTGTTGGAGGATTCTGGACTGGAACCACAAAATATGGCCCAAGGCTGTTTGGACCCCAGGTCCCTGGGGTGGCATCTCCTTGCCTACGTTTTAATCATCCCCTCCATGACTGCAGGAGAGAACTCTTGGGGTGCCCCAGATCCCAATGCACTAACAAGCACTCAGCCCTTCTGAGAGGGGCTCACCACAGTCTTGCTTCCATCACAGGGCCCATGACCAAGTTGAACAGGACCGCTGTGGCCAAGATATACCAGGAGGACATCCAGAAATTCTATGAAAGGAGTCCAAGCTCCTAGCAGCCGTGTGCACCCCAGTCTTTGTTCAGGTGCTGGTAGTTCTGTTTTGTCATCCTGCCTGTCAAGGGACAACTTCTACAGTGGGATGGGGATGGGGGCAGCCAGGGGGGAAGTGCTCTATGTATGTGGGTGGAAGGCATATCCTGCCCTCTAGTGTTGGGATCTGAATTGTAAAGGAATAATTAAATGTGTTCACTAAAATGGTGGCTCTCACCCAGAAGTGATTTTGTCAAGGGACACTGGGTGACATCTGACTGTGGTGACTGGTGTGAAGTGGGTGGAAGCCCAGGACACTGCGCAGCACTCAGCAGGGCCACAGGCCACAGACACCAGGGTAAGACCCTGAATTACAGCAATTGCTGATCCAGGCTTCATGTTGACACCTCAAGCAAGACTCCCAAATTGAAAGGGTTCCCACCTCAGACTTTTTTTTTTTTTTTAAGACTTATTTATGTATACAGTATTCTGCCGGCATGTATGTCTGCAGGCCAGAAGAGGGCACCAGATCTCATTATAGAGTTTTTCCCCCCTCAGACTTTTTTTTTTTTTTTAAGACTTATTTATGTATACAGTATTCTGGGTTCCCACCTCAGACTTTTTTTTTTTTTTTAAGACTTATTTATGTATACAGTATTCTGCCGGCATGTATGTCTGCAGGCCAGAAGAGGGCACCAGATCTCATTATAGACGGTTGTGAGCCACCATGTGGTTGCTGAGAATTGAACTCAGGACCTCTGGAAGAGCAGCCAGTGCTCTTAACCCCTGAACCATCTCTCCAGCCCTACAGACTTTATTCTTACACCGAAAACTACACTTGCTTTTTGTCATAGTGGTCTAGAGCCCAGGCTCTTACCATGGGATAGTTTTCAGACACACCTCCAGCCCCACACCAGGAGATTCTAGGCAGCGCTCCACCTGCATGCCCCAGCCTCACTAGATTTCTAGGCAGGGGCTGGAGCTATAGAGGGTTGTGAACTGCCACTTGGGTGCTGGGAACCGAGTGTGGGTCCTCTGCAAGAGCAGCAAGCTCTCTTAACCACCGAGCCACTTCTCCAACCCACTTACACACTGTACTAAAGGAGAAGTTGAGGAATTGCTAAGACCTACAGTTTTCTTTAGAGACAGTGCAAATGCTCCCAGTGGGTACAATAAAGGCAAACAAAGAGACCCAAGAGCAGCCCCTGGGCATGGAATTTATGGGGGCACACTCAGGAGATCTCATGCTGTTTTCATAAGAACCAGTTGGGACCCCACCCCCAACCCAGGCTCTCAACACCTCAAACTACAACAATGAGCTTGTTTTGTGGTTTTTCCAAGACACGGTTTCTCTGTAGACCAGGCTGGTCTTAAACTCACAGATCTGCCTGCCTCTGCCTCACAAATGCTGGCATTAAAGGCCTGTGATGTGACAGCTTGTGCTGGGGTAGCCCTGGGGACACATGGCCGAGCAAGCTCTGATGGGGCTAGAAGGGACCACAGGGGATGTTCTTTCAGCTGGGGCAGCTGGTGCACAGAATTTACAACAGAGGAAATGAAGCATATCCCCTGATGTTCTATAGGGCTCATTAAAATGCAGGAAGAAATAACACTCAGAGGTTCTGGAAGAAACAAGTTTCCTGAGGCCCACCCACACATTATGTATTCTGTCAGGGCTGCTGGGGGAGGAGGGATATAGGTGGGGAGTCAAGCATGGGCCTTCAGGGACACAGCTTTGGAATAGGCACCCATGCTGGGGTAGGCTCAATGGTGACACTTGGGAGTCCAAGTACTCCCAGGGATCTGCCTGACTCCCAGCTGTAAGCTAGTTGATCGTTGGTCTGTCATGGGTACCCAATCTGGGATGAACACACACATTCACAGTTAACCAGGAAATTATTTCTTTTATTTTTTGTTTTTCCAGACAGGGTTTCTCTGTGTAGCTTTGGAGCCTATCCTGGCACTCGCTCTGGAGACCAGGCTGGCCTTGAACTCACAGAGATCCACCTGCCTCTGCCTCCCAAGTGCTGGGATTAAAGGCAAGCGCCACCAACGCCCGGCTTACCCAGGAAGTTATAACCAATAAAGTGCTTGGCTCAGGTTTCTGGCTCCCAATGTGACTGGGTTCCTAACACACTATGCAGCTCACAATGACCTGCAACTCAAGTCTCAGGGGACCCAACACTGCCCTCTGGCCCCCACTAGCACCTCCTAACACATACACAGAGACACACATGTTCTTACACACCTGACTCTATGTGGATTCTGGAATGGAACCCAGGTCCCCAAGGCTCACACAGCAGTTTTTTCTGAAGTTCTAGCCCTCAAAATTTGGAGTCACCCATGCATCTCTCTGCAGGGTCCTGCTCCAGGGCTCCTGCCACCTGAGTGTGGCCAGCAAGCACACCAACAGCTTTCTGGAACCATCTCTGGCAGCAGTACCCTGATGAGCAAAGTGGGCTGGGCTGGTGGTGTCAAGCCCTAGGAGAGTTCATTTTCACCACTGAGCATCAACTTCCAACTACCACCTGCTAACTAACAGGACCCAAGAGGTGGTTGCCATGTGGGCACAGTGGCCAAGGATGTGGGCTTTTTTATGCCCCTCACACATGCTCCCGGCTCTCTGGGTGGAGCTCAAGTCTGTGAAAATGGGCCCAGTGAAGGTGACACCAGAGGCCTGTGGGTTCTGCCCACAGTGGGTGCAGGAACTGGGAGACCAGCACTGGGGAGTCCCTGCAAAGGGCACCCTTCTAACACTTGAACCCCCACTCAGTCCCCCTGCTGGTCCACCCACTCCTCTTCCACACCAGGCTGTTTGTCACCAGCCCTCATCCCTGCTCCCAAGGGAATGGCTAACTGTGGACCACCCCAGTCCAGGCTCCTAGTGTGCTTCTCTCCACTCATGACTGGGCGACAGGTGGGACACTCTCCACACTCATGACTGGGTGACGGGTGGGACACTCACCACATTCATGACTGGGTCACGGGTGGGACACTCACCATACTCACGACTGCGTCACAGTGGGACACTCACCACACTTAGGACTGGGTCACAGGTGGGACACTCACTGCTCCCATCTCACTTTATTTTCTATAAAACTCCTCCATAATTTCACAAGTTAACAAAAAGTTTAAAATGCGGGACAAACAGCCCTGCAGCTCATTACAAACACGGCTCTCTTTGTCCCTCTGTCCAGGGCTCGTCTGGGCCGGTGACGTGTCTATTCCTGGAGACACGTCTTGTAAAGCCCTGGGGAGGGACAGGTATCCAATACCTTTTGCACCCAGTGTCATGAGCTGGTTCAGGAGGCTGCAGCACAGGGACTCACGAAGGGGGGGGCAGTCCTGGTGCCACCCCTTCCTATGGACTAGTCCCTAGAGCCCTCGGGGCTCTGTTTGCAAGCTGCTTTTTTAGGCTTCTGGACAGCCAGCATGGGCCCCAGAGTGGCTCTGGAGGACAGTGGTGTGACCTTCCGGCCAGAGGAGGTAACTGAGATGGGTGGGTGCTTCCAGGAGGACCTTGGAAACATCTGGAAGGGCTGGACACCAAGGCCCAGGGCAGCAGAAGGGCTGGGCCCCTGGCGACTGCAAGAGGAAGAATGGCACCCTGGGCTGAGGCTGTTTGGGGCCCTGGCACATTCCATGTGGATGCCAATGGCTGCCACAATGCCAGGGCCTTCTGACCAAAGGCTGAGGCTGCAGTACGCCTGGTGGAGAGTATTGTCGGCCTGTCTGGGAAGAGGTGTGGAGCCAGAACCCTGCTTCCTCCCAGCTGGAGGGAGTGGGAAGGGGGCTGCAGGGGAGGCCTCTCTTTTCCCTGGGGTAAGGGAAGCCTTAGAGGCTGGGGTCTTTCTGACAAGGGAGGGAGCTGGGAGGCCAGGCCTCCAGGGGTGAACCCACACTGGGGAGGAAGCAACATCAGAGAGACAACTACAAGCCAGCTTGGGCTCAGGCCTCTTTCAAACACCTTGGTTGGGGCACAAACACTGACAACAACTGGAGTTGGGGTTGGGGTGGTACTCCAGGCTTGGGCATGGGAAGGGGGTTGGCTTGGCCCTTGGCAGTTTACAGGGCAAAGGTCCAAAGCCTCTCAAGGCCCACTGTGGAGGCAGAGGCCATGTGGCTAGGGACAGAGGCAGTCTGGGGCTGGGCCCGCCTCGCACACACCGTCCTATCATATTTGGCAAAAGCTCATGTTTTCAAAGTTCAAAGACTTGATCAGCAAGAGAGCAGAGGAGGCGGCCCATGGGGAATGGTGGCCCAGGAGTGCCAACATGGCCAGCCTTGGAACTGTGGGTGCTTGGCTGGCACATGGCTACAGAGGTGGCCCTTGTGGACCCAAGACTCGTGCCCATTGTAGTGTTCACTGGCCTGGGGCCACGAGAGGCAGTGGCATCCTGGGATCTAGAGAAGAGATCCTCTGTGCCTCCAGCAGGGGGTGGCATAAGCCTCCCCAGCTGCTGGACACACCCAGAGTACACTCAATACACAAGGCTGCATGGCAGGATGCCAGGGGCAGGTGCCTGCCACGCAGAGCCAGGTGTCCATGGCTAGCCCTGATCACGCTGATAGACCCTTGAGTCTAGGAGGCAGGCCAGCAGAGAGAGGCCTGTGAACTGCATGGAAGACTGTGGTCATCCTGGCCACTCAGAGAGGCACAGGCCACTTAGCCCTACCCACAGTGGACAACTGGCAGAATGAACAAGGGGCTGCAGGCCACATTGTGTCCTGTGTCACCCCCTCCTGTGGAAGTGTGGCCCACAGCCCCTTCAACACCAACCACTGAGGGGCACCAGGGCACCATGGTGAGCTGGGGGTGGTACCGGGAGTGGGAGCCATGGCGGGCCAGCCCTCATGCCCAGCCCCTCCCGTGCCCATGCCCACCATGGCTCTATAGTGGCGGCCGGGGTCATGTGGCCACGGCCTCCAGGCAGCTCTGCAGCTTGCGAACGGTGCTCTCGTCCAAGGAGAAAAGGTCAAAGTCGAAGGTGGTGTTGGTGACGTTGAAGTGGCCAGTCTCCTCG